TGCTCGAGGAGCTCCACCTCGACGGCAACGAGATTGGCGACGAGGGCTACAAGGCCCTGGCCGCCGCAATCCGCAAGGACGGGGCCGCCCCACGCTTGTCGTTGGTCTCTGTGGATAGCAAGCCGGCAGAACTGGTGGCCGCGTGCGAGGATCGCGGCATTTTGCTCTGAATACATATGACCATGGTCGGGTTTCTCCCGCCATACGTGCAGTAGATCTAGTCTCGCGGGGCGGTGTGACCGGAGGTGAACAGGTGTGCTGACACTGCCGTGGGACTGGCGTGTGGCGTCGGCGCGGCGGGCGGGGCGCCGCGCGTTCACTGCACACCAGGTGACCACTGTCGCTGCGCGCATGTCGGTTGTGTACTGGCTACACTGCGCCCCCTACTGTAGAGCCCCCTGCGCCCCCCAATCTCTCAAGCATCCAAGGGCGCTGTGCTCAGTCCTCAGAAGACACTCCCCCCCCGGCAGGAGCAGGACGAGACCGATCAGACAAAGATCCACACACGGTGATTGGACTTTGGAGGTTGGTGCTGTATTGGTGGACGTGTACACACGACAGAAATCAAGGAAGCTGCGTCGGGGGGGAGGACGATTGTACTCCACTCTCTCTGTAGGACGATTGTACGGCGAGACCTCACTTCATAGTACGGTATGGCTACCGCCGTGCGTTCGCGGTCTCGTTCTCGCCGCGCGAGAAGGGCGTGCAGACGGCCCGCTGCAGCATCCAGACCTCAAAGTCGACGGCGGCGAGCTCGGACGGCCTCTCCTTGGTCTGCTGGTCCGAGTTGAGGCACACGCTGCCAAACTTGGCGCGGTGCGCCTCGACGGCCATCTCGCGCGTCGCGTCGGCGACGGGCTCGGCTCCGCGCTCCGCGCCGCGCAGCTCACCCACCATGCCCCCCCAGTCCTCGCGCCGGCGCTGCAGCTCCTGCTTGTGCTCGAGAGGCGCGCCCGGGTCAGGCACCGCCTCGAGGATCACCTTCGCGGCGCCGATGGCAGCCTCAATGTCGGACGCCTGAAGAGTGCACGCCTGCGTCGCCGCGCGGCCGCCTGCCTCCTTGTCGAACCCGATCCGCGACGCGCCGCTCGACCTACCGGGCGTGTCGGGGGGACATGTGCATGTGCATGTGCATGTTGTTGTTGTCTGGGGGTGTCATGGCCAGAGGGCTGCTCTCGGCCGTGGCGCGCGCCGCTGCAGCATCTTGACGTTGGTGCCGCCCTTGCCAATCAGCCGGCCGACCACATTGCGCGGCACCATCACGTAGCCGTGCACGTCGAGCTTCTGCGCCATCGCCAGCCGCTCCTCGATACGTTTGGCGGCGAGCGTGCACTGGTTCTCGAACTTGCCCCGGATGCGAAAGAAGCCCGTGGCGCCTCCCTCGCCGCCGCCGCCGCCGCCTTCGGAGGCGTCGCCGCCCACCTCGCCGCCGCCGCCGCCCTCGGCCGCCGCCGCCGCCGCCTCCTTGGCCGCCGCCGCTGCCTCCTCGGGCTCGACGTAATCTATGACCGCGCCCGACTCGCTGGCGATCTGCTTGATGCCTGCGCCGCCCTTGCCAATGATCGCGCCGACCCACTCGTCCGGGCAAGGCAGCTCGAGCACACCACCCCACGGCTCTGCGACGACAAGGCGCGCCGCGAGCGTCTCGCGCGCGCCGTCGCCGTCGCCGTCGACCAGGTCGTCGATCAGGCGCCGCGCGCTCGCCGTCGCCTCCTCTCCGCCGAGGACAGTCACGTGGCCCGTCGGAAGCAGCGAGAGCGTTGCCGCCCGAATGCGCGGCGATCGCGTCCCACATGAGGTTGTCCTTGCCG